ACACTTAAATCTCAAAAACTGAATTTAATGACAGTTAGGTTTTAAAATTATTTGTTGAAAGATTCATTCACTTGAAGATAGGGATGGAGTTTAATTTTGTAGTTCCACTTCCTTTTTTCGGTTTTTTTTTTTTGGTGGGGGGGGGGGCGCTGGAGTATTTTCACTTTAGTATCAACATTTGTAAACACTTAATACCCTTTCTTATTCTATTTATAAGTCATTTTTTGCACATTTCATTAGAATTAAGAAAAATTTTAAACCTTAATTCTGTCTTAAATGACTTTTTTTAACATATAATAAAGGTAAAAAGGTAATGAATATAAAAGATAGTGAAGTGTTATATAAATTTGATCAAAATTAATAATTTTTTTTTACTCTATAAATAAAACTAAAGGAGTGATCTGATCAGATTATGAAAAGACATGCCCACTCCCTTTTTATATTCAAAAGGGTTTCATGTACTGTCCAAGTGGCTGGCTTTAATCTAGTATAAAAATGAAAAATAGAATCATGTTTAGTTTTGGCTATCTTAGTGAATATGGGAAACCATGCAGAATAGATTTAATGTCACTTCTCATGTTGGACTTATTAGTAATCTTTCCAGTCTTATTTATTAGATAGAAAAAAAATTATTCTATTTATAAATCATATCAATTAATTTATCATCACAAGTTTTCCTTTTTTTTACCTATTAAATTTTAGTGAGAAGAAATATGTATAGCTAACAGGCAAAATTAAAGACTTATTAAATTTTTAAATAAAATTAATAAATTTTAGTAGTTTTTTAATGTTGGTTAGACATGTTAAAAAACACTTATAAATAGAAGTGGGAGGAGACAAAATTATTCATGATAGCAAAACCTTAAAAAGTCGTCCTTAAGTAAATCCAGCAGCACGGGTGGTGTTATAAGAATCAAATCCTCTTGACGCTACTCTTTGAGTGAAGATGTAGCAATTGAATATGTCACCAATTCAGCTTTGGATTCCAAAATACATGAAAGGCCATATCTTGTTTGCCATTTGATCCCATAATGGTTGGAAAATTCCGGTGGCAAAGTGGAAGTACATGATGGAGGAGGTTGACGCGTCTGAATGTGATAGAAGAGTGAAGAAGGGAAAATTGGAACAGTTGAAATGATAATAACAGTAAGGGAAAATGACAAAGGTGTTGCTAACTTAGGTTTAAAATCTCAAACTTTAAAAATTTATGAGTTTGACTCTTAATTTCATAATTTTATTGTGATAAATTTATAATTTGTGTTTTAAATTTTAATATTTATTTATTTTTAATCATGATAAAATTAAAAAAAAGTTATAAATTTATTATAGTAAAATTATAAAATTGAGAGATAAATTTATAAATTATTATAATTTAAAACTTGAAATGTAAGTTAAAAACTTATCTATTATTCTCTAATAATAAATGCGGCAGTTGCGGTCAATAACTTCTTCCAACTGCTTCCCCACTCTTCCCGAGCCCTACTTTCACAAGTGCCGTTCTTGCACATTTAATGCCCCACAAATTAGACGTGGAAAAACAAGCAAACAAAGCAACTATCTTACTTGGATCCTCAAACATCATTTTATAATAGTCATCCCATAAAGTCTTTCACTAATAGATCTGTTGCTAATTTAGATTTAAATAGTTGTAAACTAATAAAGTCGTGAATACAAGTTCGACTTGTCAAGTGTCAAGCTATCTATTTAATTGTTCTTTGCAGAATTTTTAATTTAAAGGAGCTTTTGTACCTAGCCCCAAATTTAATTAGTAAGCATCAAGCTTAAAAAAAAAAAACAAAATGCTATATTTGAGGTGACAAGACTTCTAAGTCTAAGCCCATATAAGTGGAGCTTACCTTCTCCGAGTTTTACGTATTCTAATGAGTTACAATTGAAATTTTCATATTTATAATTATTTGAATTTATATTTACAACTAATTTTTCATTCAAAATTTTTTGAACATACCCTCTATATCTTTATATATAAAGTGTTTTTATTTAAATTTCACATACTAATAAAATTTTATTATTTAATTGAAATCACATAAAATTAAAATAATTTTTTTAATTTTGTTTTTAATAATGTCAGAATTGATATCATAATAGTAGTGAGTAAAGTATATAATTAATATCTCTTCTCTTTTCAAGACAATGGTAAAATTGTTTAACTACTTAAAAATATTATAACAACTCTTAAATTTAAAGACAAAATAAGTTTTTATAAAATACTCTATATAAGGGACGGGGATAGTAATTGTCATAAAACTGATCTTTTACAATTTAAATTTTATTCCCCCTAAATTAAGTTTATTATTTATTGGCCTTGAAAAAGGGCTAGAAGAGTTCGATGGGATGACAATTGATGACTATTTTTCAGCATGTTGTTCTTGAAACAGATATATTGAGGGAGTGTGTGGAGAGGATCCAAATCCCTTGGTGAGCACTCCAATAAATTTAAAAAGCGAGGGATGCATGTAGATGACTAATGTGAGATTTGCAAGGATGCTGAAAAGGATATCACACATAAGCTACATGAGTGCCCAAATACAAAAAGATTTTGGTTGGAGACTATTGATCCCAGGGACAAACAAGCTTGCTTTGGAGTAGAGCTTAAGGAGTGGATTAGATTGAATGTGCAATCTCAGCAAGCTAAGTGCGGAGCTCCATGAAATTCCTACTTCTCTATAGTGTGTTAGTTGCTTTGGCAAAGAATGAATGAGATAATTTTTCAAAATAAACCTACTACTAATGTTGGTATTAATTCTTAGATCTTAGCTATTATGAATACCTTTATGGAGTGCTGAAAAAAGCTCAAGGTACTGTATGGAGGAAACAAGATGGACCTATTCTTGATGGGGCCTGAAGTCTATTGATAGATAATTAGTTAAAATTTAATGTGGATGGTGCTTTCTCCCACTCACATAGCAACTCTAGATGTGAGGATTATTTTGTGATTCTACGGGCACGGTTAGAGAAAGCTTTCTTTACAAAATGAATGATGGAAATTTGCTTTTTGCTAAATTGTGGGCCTATATATAGTGTAACATATCAAATTTTAATCCCTACATTAATAAAGCTTAACCATGATAATTAAGAAAATTGATATGATGTGTGGCTATGGAGGTCTAATGATTAGTTTTGGTTGTGTTACAGCCTTAAATTATGAGTCTGGTGTGAAGTTGGGCCAACCAATCATTGAAAGGAGAAGAAACCAAGGATGAGGTATTGTTGTGCCACATGCCGTGTCGTGAAATACGTTCACCGTGATGCATAGACACAACTGAAGAGAGAAGGGGTCTTCTCTGAAGATTAATAGTCAGTTTACAGTTCATCAATTTAATCAAGAAGGTGGACCCAGATTGCCATACCAGGCGAGTCAACCAAAGCCCAACATTAAAAATGTGAACTTACGCCATTATCAACCGCAGCAATGCTGTCTTGGCCGCTTGGGTACCGAACAAAACTTAATTTAATATAACAATTTTTTTTAAAAAAAAAGTTCCCCTATTTTCATTTTCATAAAAAATATTTTCCAGATCAAACAAAATTTAACGTATTAAAGTTTTAAATTATAATGTGTTATTTTTCAGATTCCCAACTCCAACACAAAAAGGTATAATAAGGTTACCAACATATTTTAACATAATATTATATGTTCTCATCTCACTCTTCTTCCAACCACAACATAATAACATTCTCTCCAAGCTTTGATAGAATGTTTTCATGGAATAATATTGCCATGGAATGAAATTTTTTCCTTCCAGGCAATTTTATTAACATAATTTCAAATATCATAGTAGAGTTATCAACGTTTCATGTAATACAGAGCGATGATATTAATTTTTAATAATATGTATTTCATATTTTTTATTATTTAATTATATGCGTTTTTTATTAAAAGTAGTTTATTTTGAAGCACAATTGAATACTAAATATAAGCACTTTTTATAACAAAAAAAATTAAATTTTAATTTATTATATTGAAAGAAACTAACCTCTTTCATTAAACTAAGCTCTTGTTAGTTTATATATTCTACAATGAATAGAATATTAGTATTATATAATCACATCAAACCAAAATAAGGGGACAAAAAACTCCACATCTTAAAATGGACAAATATTGTCTTATTTATGCATTAAAAGTAAATCATAATTTTTCATCCGTGCAACGCATTGCAATGAAAGCTAGTTTACAAATTATAAGCACAATAATTTTAGTTACTTGCACAACTAAAACATAACGAGGAGATGTTAACCAAAATATTTAATTATTTTTTCTTCTAATAATGCTTCTATCTTATCTTTGACTTTGTAAACTTCATTTTATTGTTAATATATTTGTCTTTTTACCCAACAAAAAAAAGGTTAAATGAACTTGTTTTTTAAATAGTTGAAATTTTTTTAACCTAACTCGCTCGATATTGTTTAGTGGGGTGGCAGGTTAGCTGGCCGAGTCCAACCTTTGTTATTGGCTCTCAATCCAATAAATTAGTGGTAGCAAAACTCATAAGAAAACGTTTTGTTGTTTTCGGAAGTATATCTCTTTAGGTATTATAATATATATAATATTGGTGGCTGGACATAATGTTATGTTTTCTCTTTAATATTTATATATCTAAAACACACATATTGATTAACAATATAAAATTAAATTAAATTAAAATATAATATTAATGTTTTCATCTATATAAAAGAAAAGGGAGAACTGCTGTCTGACTCTGGGATGCACAAGTCAAGCCTTCAAGTCCTTGTGTTTAGAGGATTCAATCACAAGCCACACTATGACAAGTCACGGGGGTATATTCGGTATGTTTGAAATTCTGACAGGTATGTTTAAACTTATGTTTAAAAAAGAGCACATGCCTTTAGAATTATTTAAAATTAAAATACATTGGTGTCTTTAAAAAAACAAAAGAGCTCTTATGATTTCTGAATAAAAAGGAGCAATAAACAAAATATATATATATATATATATATGTAAATATTATATCAGATGGGAATATTGAAATGAAATTGTATTTTTCAAAGAAAATCCACAAACGAGATAAACCATATGACACGTAAAATAACATCTTTCAGGTTCGGGGCTTGATCTTAGCTCTGAGGCTCTCCTTCATCACCACGGTGAATTCCAATTTCCCGGTGAAATCCACCATCTTCTCCGGCGGATACGCTTCCCACTCAAATTCCTGCACCATCCTCGCCATCATCAGGTGAATATGTACCGTCCCCATACCCAATCCCGGGCATATCCTTCTTCCCACTCCGAACGGCATCATTTTCACTCCGGTCACCCCTGTTATGTCGGCGTCTTCGCCGCCGGTGATGAACCTGTCCGGGTCGAATTTCTCCGGGTTCGACCACAGCTTCGGATCCTCTCCAATGGCTGGAGTGAAGATCTCAATGTTTGCGTCGGTAGGGATGTCGTATCCTGCGAGTGTTGTTGGCTCTGTGACTGCGTGCGTGAGAGTGAAGAACGTGGGAGGATGCTTGCGTAAGATTTCTTTTACTACGGCTTGCAGGTATGGCATTTTCTCGACGTCTTTTTCATCAACCTTTTTTGATCCAACTGTGTGCGTAATTTCGTCGAACAGTTTTTGTTGAATTTGTGGGTTCGCAATGAGCCGTGCGATCCCCCATTCAACGGCGGTTGCGGTGGTGTCTGTGCCGCCGTTGAGGAATTCTGAGCAGAGAGAGACTAACTCTGCGTTATTAGGCCCGGATTTCCTTCCTTCGACTTTGAGATCGAAGAGGGTGTCTAGGTAGGAAAACGACGTCGCTGTGTGGTCCGAACCTGGGTTTTGGATTGCTCTTCTTCGTTGTTCAATGATTGGGACTAGGAACTCAATCTGTTCCTTTCGAACGCTCAAAGCCTTCTTCCTCTGTTTTGAGAAGAAGGGGCTCAGAATTGGTAAGAAATCATCGATTCTGGGGTCCAAAGTGATGAGGACGGATTTCATGACTTGATCTATTTTCTCTATTGTTTCTTCATCCATTTCGAGTCCAAAACACATAGCTACGAGTATGCAAAAGACAGCGAACCTTGCATTTTTGAGAACCCAAACAACCCCATCGTTGGCCTCTGCTTCGGCTTTAAGCCTATTGATGAGTCTGTCCATTGCGTTATCCCTCACACCTCGAAACTCTCTGATCCTGCTTGAGCTGAGCATGTTCTGGACCATGTTTTTTCTGAGCGACCTCCAAACTGGGCCATAAACTGCTGCATTCACAGTGAATTTGTTGGCACTGAAGATGTTCCTGGTAGGGTTCTCGGGAGGCCTAGTGGCATAAACTTGACCCTTTTCAATCAGAGCTTGATGAGCCAACTTGGCATCAGTGAGGATGATCATTGTTCTTGTGCCCATCTTGAGAGTGAAGATTGGCCCATACTTTGGTCTGAGTTCGTCAACATATTCAAAGAAGGGCTTCCCAGAACGAGCCACTTGAAAAAGATTTCCAACAATAGGCCATCCAGGGGGTCCTGGAGGGAGACACAGCCTTTTGGATTTGGATTTGTGGGTGAGCAAGAAAATGAGGCCTGAAAAGAGGAAAGCCAGGAGGGTGAAGATGAGGTGGTTGGAGGAGGAAGAAAGAGAAGTTAAAAAAGAGAAGAGTGCCATTTTTGAAAAGGTGATGAAGAAAGGGGAGGAAGAGATGGATGGTGAAGTAAAGGGAAGGGTATAAAAATGGAAGGAGCTTGAAATTGCAGGTGAGATTAATTAAAGCCACTTTCTAGGTGTGCCACCTGAATGCTGAACAGACACGGGTGGTTGTGGATCTATCAGCTGAGCACTCAGTCTAAGACTTTCAACGAATTTAATATTAAATATTTTTATAATTTTTATAAATAGACTGTTTTGTATTATTTTTTGAGGAGTTGGATGTTAAAAAATGTAAGGTATTTTTAGTTTTTCGAGATGTAATCATTATCTTTTTTTAAAAGTGTCCTATTGATAGTGACTTTATATTTATTGTAAAGTGTTTAATATGAGTAAATATAAAAAAATAGGATTAGTTGGAAAGTAAGTAACTATTTTATTGGGAGGTGAGATTCGATTAAAAATGTCTTATATTTTTAAATGGAGGGAGTAACATTTTCTTAATTATTTAAAGATATGGTTTGGAGATTATCTTTATTTTTTATTTTTAATATTATATTTACTTAAATAAAAATTTATAGAAATTATAAGAAATTTTATTATTAAATCTAAATTGAACAAAATACATCTCAATAATCAATTTATAAAAATTACAAAAAAAAATTAATATTAAATTAGATCAATTTGAGTTAAATTTATATTATTCAGATTAATGATAAGATAAATTTATTAAAATTTTATAATTTTTTAATAATAAATATAAAATAAAAGTTAAAAAATCTGAGCCGTTCAAATGCTCCCAAAATCCAAATGTTGAGCCCATGATATTCAATGCTCATCAGTGATGAGCACCGTGTCCAAATGCAACACTCTTTATCGTTTTTTTACTGCAAACGTGAAGGTAGAAGATTGTGCTGGGCTTGTAATAATTTGTAGTACTAGTTTTGTATTTCCTTGACGTGAGACAGTTGAATTGAAGGCGCATGGATATTGGTAAATTAAATGCTCTTGCACTTAGCGGCAGAGTTAGGATCCCGGTTCACAAGGACACTGATAGAGTTAGGATTTTCAGCACACACAATTTTTCGTGTCTTTCAAATATTTTTTTTATTTTTTTATTTTTTAATTCAATCTTGCAAATACAGTGAGTTAATAAAAAAAATATTCAATAAGTTTATTTTTTATTATTTTTTTTTTGTTTCCTAGTCTCTAACTAGCATTTGGGATGAGGATGACTTGACTTTAATTTGGTTAAGTTAGATTTTTTTCTATTTTTTAAAGGATTAATAAATAATATTGATATTTAGATATAATGAAATTATAGACTAATATTTATTGGGCTTTGAGTTAAAAAAATTAAATTTTAGATTCAAGCTATAAAAAATAAGATTGAAATGGGTTTAAAGTTTAATATTAAAATAAGGAAGTGCAAAGTATAAGAAAAAGAGAGTACAAAATACAAAATATCAAAACTCATACTCTATGCATGTTATTTTTCCCAAGTTGAGGGGTGCATATGCCCCCCTCAATTGCAAGTAGCTCCACCCATGCTTGCACTACTTATGTACCCTTTTGATCTTTTTTATAAGTCATTTCTATCAACTTCATTAATATCAATGCAAAAAAGGTACAAAGAATAAAAGTTTGTAGACTTTCAAAATATGCTCCTATATAATAAATTTAAAAGTTATGTTACATTGATGAAGAATGAGTTTCAACGTACTCGCAAAAGCTCATAATCCATTGAGTCTTATTTAGGGAAGATGAAAGTTATTTTAGATGATATGGCACTAGCAGGGCATCTAATTGCTTTATTAGATCTCATCATGCAAACACTTGTTGGATTCGATACAAAATATACGCCTATTGTTGTTCATCTTGCAGATAAAGATAACTTGTCCTGGATAGAGCTTAAGTCTTCGTTGCTGACATATGAAAAGCATCTTGAACACTTGAATAGTGTTACCAATGTAAGTAATTCATTACTGCTCTTGGTTTTCGAACTGACTGTTCTGCTCTTAGTGGTTCTTTAGGCTCTTTTGGATTCTGTGATACTTGATCACCTTAGCATGGTAGAGGACGTAGTAATTGAGGTCGTCATCATTCTAGACGTACTAACAATAACAAATCAGAGTGTCAGTTATGTAGGAGACCAAGACATTTGGTTTGTGATTATTATTATTGATATGACAAAACTTTTGTTCCTAAAGATAGTGACTCAAAGGATATGTCAGCTTATTTTATATCAGTAGAAACAGTACAAGATCTTGCGTGGTATATTGACAGTGGTGCATCAAATCATGTAACTAATTTACATGGTATTGGCATTGAACATGGACCTTCTTTAGGTACATTAACAGTTAGAAATGGCACTGGTTTGAAAATTCATGGACACACATCAAGGCATTTTAACTGTGGATCTGACTCAAAAATTTTGTTGAACGACATTTTAATTGTTCCTACTATTAAGAAAAATCTACTGAGTGTTTCAAAGTTAATTTTGGATAATGATGTGCTAATTCAATTCTACTCTGATTATTGTGTTGTTAAGGATTCGAGAACAAGGCACGTTCTGCTTAAAGGTCAAAGGTGTGATGGTCTGTACAAAGGTGAAGGGATGCCTCAAGTCTATCAAATTTTTCAATTTGATACAGATGCAAATAATCAAAGCTCAGTAGACTCAGTTGCTTTATTTTTAGCCATTGATACATGACATAGACGATTAGGACATACTTCCTTGACTACTATCAAACATGCTTTAAAGAAGTATAATATTTCATTTGACAATAATGAACAATTTACTTTTTGTGATGCATGTCAATATGGCAAGATGCACAAACTCCCTTTTCCTGTCTCTGAGTCTCAATCAAAAGCACCTCTTGATTTAATATTTACCGACTTATAAGGACTGGCACCAATTAATTTGAAATCTGGTTTTAAAAATTACATCAATTTTGTGGATGATTTTAGCCAATTCACTTGGTTATATCCTCTTCGGTCTAAGGGTGAAGCATTATCTGCTTTTGTTCAATTAAAAAGATGACTGAAAATCAATTTGATAAAAAAACTAAAGTTTTACAAAGTGATTAGGGTGGAGAATTTCAAAGTTTTTCTATTGTTTTATCAGGGTCTGGTATTCAGTTTCAACATCTTTATCCTCACACATCTGAACAAAATGGTCATGTTGAGCAGAAGCATCGTCATATTGTGGAGATAGGTTTGACTTTGTTAGCTTAGGCATCAATGCCATTATGCTATTGGTGAAAAGCTTTGATGAATGTTGTATATGTCATAAATCGTCTGCCTACACCGGTATTGGATAATACTTCTCCTTTTAAGACTTTGTTTTCTACTACACTGAATTATGGAGGCTTTAAAATCTTTGGGCGTGCCTGTTTTCCATGTTTAAGGCCTATAATAAACATAAAATGGCATTTAGAAGTGAACGTTGCACCTATTTGGGTTCTAGTCCTTCATACAAAGGATATAAATGTCTGAATCCTTTATGCTAGATCTATATTTCACGGCATGTTATTTTTAATGAAAATGTGTTTCCTTTTGCAGGCTCTCAAAAATCAAATAATTCTCAGCCTCTTATAGAGTTAACCTCATTTGATTGGCTTCCTTCTTCTATGCTCTGTTCTGCTGAATCTTCTTCAAATTTAGACACATAGTTGAATAGTCCCATGCGGCATAAAGATGGTGACGATATAAACATGGAGCCTTCATTAACTCAAATGGTGTCGTCTACTGTGTCCTCACCTGGAGGTTCGATGTCATCAGGCCCAATCAACTTATTAAGCCTATTACCTTCTTCAACCACTAATAATGAACACTGCCTAGTATTGGCAAGCCCATTACTTTATTCAGGTAATGATGATGCTTAGTCCTTTTCTTCCTTTGGTCTATCACATTCAAAATCAGTTTTATCAATTTGTGAGTCCACACAACCTATGTAATCTACTTGTTCAAACAGTCATCAGATGGTGACTCGTTCCAAAAGCAGAATTTTTAAGCCCAAGAAACCATTTATTGGTTTTGCCTAGTAAGATCCACGGTGCTTACGAATTACACTACATTTGTCAACATTGCATTAACTTTACTGCATTAGAAGGATGTAATGACAGCAGAATATAATGCTCTTATTAAAAATCACACGTGGGATCTGGTACCTGCTCATCTTTCTCAGAATTTAGTTGGGTGTCGATGGATTTTTAAAACCAAACTTAAGCCATATAATATGGTTGATTGTTATAAAGCATGTCTTGTTGTTAAAAGCAATTTGCAAGCTCCAAGTGTTGATTATGGAGAAACCTTTAGTCCAGTTATAAAGCCTTCAACCATTTGTGTTGTTCTTACTCTAGCAGCTTTCAAAAGTTGGGATGTGAGACAACTTGACGTCAATAATACCTTTTTGAATAGGTATCTCACTGAAACAGTATATATGACTCAACCTGAAGGTTTTGTTGATTCATCACAGCCATCACATGTTTATCGGCTGAAGAAAGCTCTCTATGGTTTAAAGCAAGCTCCTCGAGCTTGGTTTGATCGACTTCGTGTCACTTTGCTGTCATGAAAGTTCAAGCATAGCAAGAGTGATGCTTTATTGTTTTATTTTCAAACCAATGATCAACTCCTTCTAATTCTTATTTATGTTGACGATATCTTGGTTACTGGAAGCAATACTAAGAGTGCGCACAAGTTTATTCATCAGTTGAATCAGATCTTTTCTCTTAAAGATTTTGGATCCATTCATTATTTGTTAGGTATTGAGATTACTTGTGATCTGATTGGTTTTTTATTGAATTAATGCAAATATATTAATCGTTTGCTCACTCAATGGAATATGAGTCATGTATCAACAAGCAAGACTCCTTTAGCTACTAGCCGCACATTGTCCAAACTTGACAGTCATCTTCTTACTGTCGAAGATAGTGTTTCATACAGGAAGTTAATTAGCTCTTTACAGTATCTAGCTAATACTAGACTTGATATTGAATAGATGGTGAAGATTGGAAGAGCATACGTAGTTGGGAGTTTTTTCAAACTAAAGAAGGTGGGAAGAGAGAGAGTGTGTGTGTGGCTGTTGAATATGAGGAAGGAAGAGAAGTCGGTGAAGATGTTGGCAGAAAAGGAG